GAGAGAGAGAGAGAGAGAGAGAGAGAGAGAGAGAGAGAGAGAGAAGCCACAGGAGAAAAGAAGCACACAGACAAAAGGGTGCTCATGAAGGATACATAAAAAAATCTTGTGGCTTAATAAGGAACGACAGCACAGTAGAAATTTCCCAGAAAAGGAAATTAAAATGGCCTATATTTGTATGAAAATATATTCCCAAATATTCAACTAATAGAGTAGTTGAGGAGTAGTATGCATTCGCATCCACAAATCCAGTCCTAAGGTGTATTCATTGAAACAGCTTTTATAAATATACACTAAGAGATGAGTGTATAACATAAATCCAACGAGGCTTGTTTCAAAGCTGTGAAGCTAAACATTGAGTTTATACGGTATGCAATATATCAGCAGGTCAAATTTTTAAGAGACGAGAAAAAGTACGGTTTCCAGCGAAAGTGTGCAAGGCGCATGGATGAGGAGGGGCCCGAAGAGCCATTAGCTTTCTTAAGTGTTTGTCTTTTTGCTCCCTGTACCTACACATGTAAGTGCTCGTTCAGGTTGTTTAATAATTAATAGGGAGTTTAAAAATAAAAGGAGAAAAACGGGTCCCAACTCTGGAGCCAGGCTGGGAACGGTTCTGCCCAGACCATGCAGCCTCTCCGTAGAGGTCAGACCAAGCGCTGGGCATCGGCCACGAAGCCCACCCTACAAGATTCGGCGGGGTAGAAAGAGCTGTAACACACGGAAGTTCAGCCGCTTAGCCGGAGTAGGAGGGTCAGCACACTGGGGCCAAACCCTCCACAAATGTCTGCACTTCTCAGCAGAAGGTGTCCGGTGGGGCCAGAGGCAGATCTGGAGCTGCCCTGCGTGGGCACGCAGACGCTCCACCTTCTGCACGGCTCCTGTCTCTGGAGGACGATGTCCCCGCACTGCATTTCCCCGGCTCTCGTGGCCGTCGGCTCTGAGTTGGGGTTGGCCCATGGAGGTGCTGGCAGGAGACGGAAGGCGGGGAAAAGGAAGAAATCGCAGGACTGGCCTGCCCCGTGT